AAAAAAAAAAAAAAAGAAAATCTATGGAAAATGGGAAATGATGGTTAATTTGTAATCAGAAAAATTACTACTGTACATTATTATATTTAAATCCTTTATCTCACTTGATTCCCACAAAAGCTCTGTGAGATACACAGGACAAATCATTGTTATATTATTAAAAAAAAAAAAAATTGGCGGATGTGGTGGCTCATGCCTTTAATCCCAGCACTTTGGGAGGCCGAAGTAGGCGGATCACCTGAGGTCAGGAGTTTGAGACCAGCCTCGCCAACATGGAGAAACCTCATCTCTAGTAAAAAAAAAAATTTTTTTTTGAGACAGATCTTGCTCTGTTACCCAGGCTGGAGTGCAGTGGCACAATCTCAGCTCGCTGCAACCTCTGCCTCCCAGGTTCAAGCAATTATCCTGATTCAGCCTCCCGAGTAGCAGGTGCCCACCACCATGCCCAGCTAATTTTTATATTTTTTCTTTAGTAGAGTTGGGGTTTTACCATGTTGGCCAGGCTGGTCTCAAACTCCTGACCTCAAGTGATCTACCTGCTTTGCCCTCCCAAAGTGCAGGGATTACAGGCGCAAGCCACTGCAACTGGCCTCAATTGTCATATTAATTTTTAAGAGAAGAAAAACCAGCTGGTACAATGGCTCACACCTGTAATATCAGCACTTTGGGAGACCAAAGCAGGAGGATTACTGGAGCTCAGGAGTTCAAGACCAGCCTGGGCAACATAGTGAGACCCCATTTCTACAAAAAGTAAAAAACTAGCCAGGTGTAGTGAGTGACACATGCCTGTGAGCTCAGCTACTTGGGAGGCTAAGGTAGAAGAATCACTTGATCCTGGAAGATTGATACTGCAATGAGCTGTGATTGTGCCACTGCACTCCAGCCTGGGTAACACAGCAAGACCCCATCTTTAAAAGAGAAAGAGAAGAAAAACCAAGAATCAAGGAAGACAGTGACATGGCCTGAATCATGCATGAGGAAACAGCACAACTAGAGTTTGGACTTGCTTTCTGATTCCAGCTCATTGCTGCATCCACCAGTGATAACAGAAATGCCCTAGATTACTGTCAGAGTCTATAGATTAGAAATGACCACAGGACCTGCAACCAGAGACTGTGTTGAGGGAAGAGCGTTCTGGATATCCTTAAACTGAAAATTTCAGAGGCATTGAGCAGACGAAGCCTTCTTGGAGACAGTCAGTCTGGGGCAGGCAGTAAGAAGCCATGATGCTTGCGTTCAACCTTCATGTGTTCCATCATTCAACATTTATCAGCACATTCTTGGTGCTAGGCACTGGGGAGACAGGGACAAAAACACTTAGTCGCTGCCATCAACAATGTCACAATCCATGAGAAAGAGAAGTTGACAAGTTGCAATGCTAAGTGGTGAGTGCTGTGTTATGAATCCTGTGCCTGGGGAGTTAGAGAAGGCTTTAGAGAGGATGTGGGATCTGACTAGTCATGAAAGAGTAAAATTTTGCCAAGCAGAGAAGGTTATGTCCCATACCAAGGGCAGGAGATTCAGATCAGTGGCTGTGTTCTTGAGAAGTCTCTGATGAGCACACTCAGGCTGGAGAGGGGGTCCTTCCCCATTGGCAGCACCTCACCACACTCCTGTGGCTCTGCATGCAGGGAGGCCAGACTGCGCTGATGCTGGGAGTCAGCCACGACAGGGAGGACATGGTTCAAGCGCTGCTTAGCTGCCAGGCAGATGTCAACCTGCAGGACCACGATGGATCCTCGGCCCTCATGCTGGCCTGTCACCATGGCAACGTGGACCTGGTACGGCTGCTCCTGGCACACCCAGCCTGCGACAGCAGCCTGACTGACAAGGTGAGACTTACATGCAATTAACAAGTAGCTATTGTTGGGCAGGGTAGCTCATGCCTGTAATCCCAGCACTTTGGGAGGCTGAGGTGGGAGGATCACTTTGAGCCCAGGAGTTTGAGACCAGCCTGGACAACACAGGGAGACCCCACCTCTTTAAAAAAAAAAAAAGTAGCTATTAAATTTACCCTCCTGAAGAGTGTCCTGCAAGCCAGCAGAATTCAAGGAACCCTATGGCAGTACAACAAAATCAGCCTCCTAAGGCTGTTGTGGAATTTAAATAAGAGGCCCGGCACAATGGCTCACATCTATAATCCCAGCACTTTTTCGGAGGCTGAGGTGGGAGGATTGCTTGAGGCCAAGAGTTCAAGGCCAGCCTGGGCAACACGGTGAGACCCTGTCTCTTAAAAAAAATTAACCAGCCGGGCGCGGTGGCTCAAGCCTGTAATCCCAGCACTTTGGGAGGCCGAGGCGGGTGGATCACGAGGTCAAGAGATCAAGACCATCCTGGTCAACACGGTGAAACCCCGTCTCTACTAAAAATACAAAAAATGAGCTGGGCATGGTGGCGCGTGCCTGTAATCCCAGCTACTCAGGAGGCTGAGGCAGGAGAATTGCCTGAACCCAGGAGGCGGAGGTTGCGGTGAGCCGAGATCGCGCCATTGCACTCCAGCCTGGGTAACAAGAGCGAAACTCCGTCTCAAAAAAAAAAAAAAAAAAAAATTAACCAGGCATGGTAGTGCATGCCTGTAATCCCCGCCTACTGGAGAGCCTGAGGCAGGAGGGTTGCTTGAGCCCAGAAGGTGGAGGCTGCAGTGAGCCATGATCAGACCACTACACTCCAGCCTGGGTGACAGAGTGAGACCCTGTCTCTAAAAAATTTAAAAATTAATAAATGAGATGATTCATGGTAAATGTTTGGAGTCCTAGAACTGTGAAACCCACAACCCTAGCCTTTCATAACACCATTCTCAGCTAATGTGCCCTGGCTTGGCTTGGCCCTGATCCTTATCTGGTCATGGCAATAATAGCATGTGGGCTTTTGAGGCAGTAGCTTAGATGGGGAAGCTCTGCTGTCCAGTAGGGACTCAAAAGCCTTCAGAAGGATCAACCTTACAGAGTCATCTCTAGTCATTTAACTGAAAGTGCCTCTTTGGACATTGACACACTTAATGAAGCAGCCCATTCCATCAAGTCAGCCTACTTGAAGTTACACTGTCAGTCACAGGCTTCTTAAATAAACTTCTTCAAAAGATGATGGCCATGATGCTGATGACAATAGTAACTAATCAGTAACAATAGTAACTGTCCGGGTGTGGTGGCTCATGCCTGTAATCCCAGCACTTTGGGAGGCTGAGGCGAGTGGATCACCTGAGGTCAGGAGTTCGAGATCAGCCTGACCAACATGGAGAAACCCCGTCTCTACCAACAATACAAAATTTGCTGGGCATGGTGGTACATGCTTGTAATCCCAGCTACTTGAGAGACTGAGGCAGGATAATCGTTTGAACCTAGGAGGCAGAGGTTGTAGTAAGCCAAGATCATGCCATTGCACTCACGCCTGGGCAACAAGAGTGAAACTCCATCTCAAAAACAAAACAATAGTAACTAACTAACACGTATGGAGGGCTTATTCTGTGTCAGGTAGTGTACTAAGCATTTGCCAGGGACCATCTCATTTAAACCCCACAACAACCTTGTAAGGTTGACTGTCTTCCTGCTGCTCCACTTTGCTCAAGGAGACAGAATCATCAGATGGTTAGGTTACATACACAAAAGACTTCTCAGAGAGTGGAACCCGGCTCCATTGAAACGCCTGGGCCCATACCCTTAACTGTTCCATCATCATGACTGTTGTCACATTGAAACATCCATGTCTCTGGCTCCCTGCTGAATCCCCAACACCTAGTAGAGTGCCTGCCACATATCATTGAATCAATCAACAAATGAGTGTGTGAAACCCCTAAACTTTGGAAGTAAGCAACAGTAAGTGATCTTGTTTCTGATAATTACAGTAGATATAATAATATTTCTAGAGTGCTCCTGGGAACTAACCCTTTCCCATGTGTTACCTCTAATCCTCTCAGTAATCCAGTGAGATAGTGATCCCCACTTTTTACTGAAATCAGGCCTGAAGATGTTATGTAATTGTCCTAAGATTTACAAGCTACTGATTCTTAGAGCAGAGATTCAAGCCCAGGTCTGACTCTAGTATCCTTAATGTTGGTACTGTAATTTAATGATTTAAGCAGATGTCTTGATGCTTTCTTAACAGCCACAATTCAAAGGGAAAAAAGCCTGGAGAGGGGACGACAGTCCTCTCCCTGCCCAGGGACAGTACCTCTTACCCGGCCACATTTTAACTCCCCAGAGATTGACTCAACAGCAATTCAAGCTGCTGAGTCCTTCAGTCACATCCAAACAGCAGGCACCCATCCAGTGACTCTAGGTCCTGTGAACCCCAGCTTCACTCCAAAGCCATTTCCGAGATCTTTAGAGAGCACAGACCTTGGCCTTTATATGGGAACAGGGATGGGCTACTGGAAACCAGAGCCTACTTTTCCAAACATGACGTGGCCAGACAAAAGATTTGTGTTAATGAGCTCTCTGCTGGGTTGTCCTGGGAGAGAAGGAGGCAGCTCTTAATCCGGAACAGGCCTGTACATCAAAGGCCCCTGGCCCTCTAATGAATGACCACTGCTGATGCCCGAAGAGGCCTGAGAGGGGAGGCCCATGGATCAGGCAGACAGGCATGAGCTTTGGAAGTCCCTGGTTAGCTGAGATAATTAGGCAGTGGATCTGAAAGCTCTCCTGGGTATCTCTGGAGATCTGTCACAGGTATAAGAGCACTAAGTGGCAGCTTTCTGGTGGTAGAAGTGTTGTGGGATCTGTTGCATTTCAGACAACTCAAGCATGATTGTTGGAAGCATGGACTTTAAATGCTTATGAGGCCAGATGTAGTGGCTCATGCCTGTAATCGCGACACTTTGGGAGGCCAAGTCAGGAGGGTTGTTTGAGCCCAGAAGTTTGAGACCAGTCTCGGCAACAAAGTGAGAACCCCTGTATTAGTCCATTACATCCCTAAGACTGGGCAATTTACAAAAGAAAGAGGTTTAATTGGACTTCCACATGGCTGGGGAAGCCTCACAATCATGGTGGAAGGCAAGGAGAAGCAAGTCACGTCTTACATGGATGGCAGCAGGCAAAGAGAGAGCTGGTGCAGGGAAACTCCCCCTTTTAATAGCCATCAGATCTTGTGAGACTTGCGCACTATAACAAGAACAGCGCAGGAAAGACCTGCCCCCATGATTCAATTATTTCCCACCTGGTCCCTCCCACAACACATGGGAATTCAAGATGAGATTTGGGTGGGGACACAGCCAAACCATATCACCCCCTCTCTACAGAAAATAGAAAAAAAAAAATAGCCAGGCATGGTGGCATGCACCTGTAGTCCCAGCTACTCGGGAGGCTGAGGCAGGAATATTGCTTGAGCCTGGGTAGTTGAGGGTACAGTGAGCCATGATTGTGCGAGGGAACTCCTACCAGGGTGACAGAGTGAGACCCTGTCTCAAAAAAAAAAAAAAAAAAAGTTAAATGCTCATGAGTTCGAATCTAGGTTCAGTGACTTTGGGTAGGTAGGTGACCTAACTCTTCTGGGCCTCTAGATGCTTGTCTGTAAAATGGGAACAGCAGTAGACTCTACCTAAATACTATAATGTTTATAAAGGCTGTCTCTGACATCTAGCACAGTGGATGGTAACTGTTTTAATTATGAATAGATGAACAGTGATAGCTAAAACAAAAACACCACATCGCCCAGCAGGGACCTTGGCATTTACAGACAGCATCTGGAGAGAGTAGGGAGAACAAAGATCTGGAGTTAGGGGAGCCAATCAGACAGGGAGACCAGCCCCCAAAGGGAGAAGCTACTGACAGGCTTGGTTCAGTCCAGTGGTTCTCAGCCAGGAGTGATTTTGCCCTCCGGGGAGATTTGGCAATGTCTGGGGACATTTTTATTCACAAGCTGGGGAGAGAATGCTCCTGACATCTAGTGGGTAGAGTCCAGGGATGCGGCTAGACATCCTGCAATGCACAGGAACAGCAAAGAATTAACAATTATCCAGCTGGGCGCAGTGGCTCATGCCTGTCATCCCAGTACTTTTGGAGGCCAAGGAGAACAGATCACTTAAGGTTAGGAGTTCAAGACCAGCCTGGCCAACATTTTGAAACCCCGTCTCTACTAAAAACACAAGAATGAGCCAGGCGTGGTGGCGCACACCTGTAATCCCAGCTACTCGGGAGGCTGAGACAGGAGAATCACTTGAACCTGAGAGGTGGATGTTGCAGTGAGTCGAAATCGCGCCATTGCACTCCAGCCTGGGTGAAAGGGCAAGACTCCATCTCAAAAACAAACAAACAAACAAAATAAACAATTTTCTGGTCCAAAATATCAATAGTGCTGCCATTGAGAATGCCTGGTTTAGGCAAGCACTGAAATCCAGGTGGGTTTAGGTAACCAGTCCCGGTGAAGTGCTGGATCAGGGAGAGCCAGGCCAGGCTGAGGACTGGGCCGGCCGGAGTTCGGGGCAGGCTGTAAGCCTGGAAGGGAGGGCCTGGAGTGCTAATCAGGAGATGGAGGAGGACATCTATCATGGCAGAAGCTGGAGCGAGTTAGGGAAAGCCCAGCCAGCACAGTGGTGCCCAGGTAATGCAGGTAATGGGCCCACAGGTAAAGCGGGTTCCAGACCCCACCCATGGTTGGGCCGCATGCTGCCCACCTAGGTCAAGGTTGATTCACGTGCAGATTCTCAAGGGTGACTTTGGTGAGCACAGTGTCTACATCCCCAGGATGAGACATTTCAGTGGAAAAGGGAGCTTCTGACAAGGCTGTGCCAAGTACCAAGGCTTGTACCTGGTGCTTCACATGTAGGGGGAAAGTCTGGCCCTTATCTTACCCTTCGTATCATTTCCATATTCATCTTTCCTATGGAAGCTTCGATGTTAACAGCAGGGCTTATTTGGGAATGCCCTTGGAAAACTGGGAGAGAATTCATATCCTGAAATTGGTTTGTTTCATCAACATTTAAAGTTTGATATAAATGCAGAACTCCCAGAACGGTTGGTCAGGCCCTTAACTAGGTTTACAGGCAATTTGAGGAAATCCGCCACCCAGCCTTTTCCGGGCCCCAGAGCCCACCCTTTATTTTGGCAGCTTCTTTAAAGCATCCGTCAGATTGAAAACTTCTTAAATGCAGAGATTATGCCTTGCTCATCTTTGTGTGATACATAGTGGGCTCATGATGAGTTCTCATTATATTCAAAGACGCCCCCTCCAACACATGCACACACACACAGTTGTGCCAGCTGCCTAGACCCTGCCTGTTTTGTTTGTTTGTTTTGAGATGGGGTCTTGCCCTGTCACCCAGACTGGAATGCAGTGGCACAATCAAGGCTTATTGCAGCCTTGACTTTCTGGGCTCAAGTGATCTTCCCACCTCAGCCTCCCAAAGCGCTGGGATTACAGGCATGAGCCACTGCGCCTGGCCAAGTACAGATTTTCAATCCCTGAAGTTACACGTAAATTTTACACCATACCCGGCTAGTCCCCCATTTCTTCAGTCGGGGTCTCCTAGACCAGCTCTGGAGTGTCACCAAGCAGGGCTCGCCATACCTGGCTCCCACAGGAGCTGCATGGCACGAACTTATTCCCAGAGTTCTGGCAGAGGCGTCGGAGGAACACTCCCCCTCGTGAAGTGGTCTCTCTGGCCACACCTCCTAAACTGTTCCTCCTCTGTTCTTCATGTCTGCAGTTGAGGAGCCCGCAGCTGCAAGCTATCCTCCAGATGGGCCCTGGACTGGCCCTGCGGCTCTTCCCCCAAACACTGTCAGCACGGACTCTGTGTTTACATAGAGCCTCAGGATTGACAAGGCACAGCAGATGGAGTTCAGGAGCAGGAACTCGGGCCTAAGCAAACCCAGGCCCCTCCTTTAGGAGGCTTTTACAGGACTCCCTGCTTAAAATCTTTGCTTTGTTCCAGTGCTTTCCAATGTACAAACATATTCACTAGGATTTAGATTCCATCAGCTTGAAATGAAATCATTAGGTTCTTGTGCGGGATTCTCTCTTTCAGCAGTGCTTGCTGAGGGCTGGCCAAACGCCAGGCCCTGGGCCAGTGCCGGCACGCAGCAGTGGACAGGCCAGATCAGCTTCCTGGCCTCGTGGAGACCGAAATGTATCAAATAACCCCACAAATACCAGCATGTAACAAGTGGTCAAAGAAAAGTCCAGGGAGTCATGAGGGCTTTTTGGGGAAAGAACTTTGTATGTTTTGAGAAGCCCATGTGCCATCTTCGGGGTCCCACTGAAATGCCACTCCCTTCCTCTGCCTCCCCCTGAGCCATCTTCTAGCCACCCTGGCACACAGTGGCTGTCCTCTCCCTTGAGCTCAGGCTGTTCCTGTCTTCTGACTCGTTTAGTGCTTTGCCATATGCTTTATAGTTATTTGCACGTGTGGGGAGCCCTGGTGGTCCCTGGATTCCATCCCCGTGCATGGGAAAAAGGCTGAAGAGTGTTAAGCTGGGTGTTAACACTTCCTACCTGCTTCTGTGAAAGAACTGTTCACATTTTAGGAAGTAAATCTATGCATAGGCAGTAGAGAATAATCTAGTGGGGCCTTGGGTGTCCCCTACCCATCAAACCCTTTACAGCAGCAAAATGTCAAAATTTTCACAGTAGGCCAACAGCCTCAGGTCAGGTCTCAGCTCCCAAAAAGTTACCTAAAGAGTGTGGTTTTTGGAGCTGCTTAGAGTTCTGAATTCTGGATGCGGGAGTGAGCTCATTCATGAGAGACTGTGGCTGCTCAGTCAGGCTGGTGGTGCCTGATGAGAGCCTCCTTGGTGCAGCTTCTTTAGACAGTGGAACTGCTAGCTTCCTGCATCGCCGTGGCAGTGTAAAGAGTGCTGTGGCATCACAGAGCAGGAAGTAAAAATGTGCATGCCCCTGAATGCTCTGAGCCCACTTCTAAGAGTCAGGAAATAATTACAAATGGGAAAATGCGGAGGCAGGGCGTGGTAGCTCACACCTATAATCCTAGCACTTTGGGAGGCCGAGGTGGGCGGATAACCTGAGGTCAGGAGTTCGAGACCAGCCTGACCAACATGGAGAAACCCTGTCTCTACTAAAAATACAAAAAATTAGCTGGGCGTGGTGGCGCATGCTTATAATCCTCGCTACTCAGGAGGCTGAAGCAAGAGAATTGCTTGAACCCGAGAGGCGGAGATTGTGGTGAGTCAAGATCGTGCCATTGCTCTTCAGCCTGGGCAACAAGAGCGAAACTCTGTCTCAAAAAAAAAAAAATGGGAAAATGCTTTTTGCACTAAGATTATTATGGCAGAGACTTAGAATCAACAAAAATTTCCATTGAAAGTAATATTTCCATAATTAGTTTAAAATGTAGTAAATTATGTAGTATTATATAGCCAAAAAGAAATATCATGCATTATAATGGTCAAGTAAGAATAGAGAAAAATCGTATAGCATACCGTGATAAATTAAGAATGAAAGCAAATTCAAAGTTGATATACAACATCACTCCTTTATTTAAAAACCAACAACAGGACAGGTGAGAGACAGGACAGGATTACGAATTCATGCCTGTAATCCCAAAACTTTGCAAGGCCAATGTGGAAGGGTCATTTGAACCCAGGAGTTCAAGACCAGCCTAAGCAACATAGTGAGACCCTGTCTCTACAAAAAATTTAAAAACAAACAGATAGAAATAAACCAACAAGTTTGCACAGGAGAAAAGATTGGAGGAAAACACCCCAAAATGCTAACTTGCACTTAGATGCATGTAGTGGAATAGCAAGAGTTATTTTATTTCCTGTTTGCCAATTTGAACAGGAAAAAAGTGGGGCTGGGCACAGTGGCTCACACCTGTAATCCCAGCACTTTGGGAGGCCGAGGTGGATGGATCAGTTGAGCCCAGGAATTTGAGATCAGCCTGGGCAACATGGTGACACCCCATCTCTACAAAAAATGCAAAAATCAGCCGGGCGTAGTGGTGTGTGCCTGTAATCCCAGCTACTTGGGAGGCTGAAGGTGGAGGATCACCTGAGCCCAGGAGGCGGAGGTTGCAGTAAGCTGTGATTGTGCCCCTGCACTCCATCCTGGGCAATAGAATAAGACTCCATCTCAAAAAAAAAGAGCATTAAAAACCAGATTACTCTTTTTTATTTCCACTGTCACAGATATCCCAGGAGTCACTATTGTTTCTGCAGAATGGGCCACATTGCTGGTGATCCTCATGTCATTTGAATCTTCTCTACCGGTGTCTCTGGAAGCCTGGGATAGACACCTATATCCCAGGCATACCCCCTACTCCCAACTTGCCCTTCCCCCCTGGGTAGGAGGCAGATTGGATGATATTTATTTCTCCTTTCCTTTTCTCCTGTAGGCTGGCCGCACAGCTTTGTCCATTGCTCTGAAGTCACCCACCCATATGGAAATTGCTGGGCTTCTGAGAGCCCACGCGGAGCAGGGCAGATCCCTGGGGCTGTAGGGGCTGCAGAGGAACTGGCAGCCAGGAACAAAAGCCTTCTTCTCTGGACTCCTCCCTCGCCTTTGGAGAAGGCAGAGGTCACAGGCCAGAGAGCCACCCCTCAAGAGAAGAAACTATGTGAAATATGCACATACATTCCTGTTGTATAATTCTGCTCATTAGGATGCTTTGTAGTTTTTGCCTTAGGCCAAGCCCCAAAACTACACGGCTTCAGAATAAGGTTCAAAGTGCAAAGCTGAGGGGTAGATCGGTGTCATCCAAACATCCAAAACATCTTCAGCCTTGAATTCCTCCTGACTCTACCCTCTGTAGCATTGTGTAGCAAGCAGGCAGGCAGGAGCACAGTAGCACATTAGAAAAGCAATACTTTTTACATGGAATTTCAAAGTGCACTATCTTTTTGTTTTTAAGCAAGAGTATACAAATATGTCCCATTGATATGCATGTCTAGAGATGGGAGGGGATTTAAGCCAACCTCCTGGCAAGCATTCTGAAGAGGACCCCAGGAGAATCACTATGCAGACTGTTGAAACTGAACAAGCCCCATTTGGGAGCTTTGTTTCGATGGGGTTGACAGAGAAATCTTAAATTCAGACAAGGTAGGAAGAAGCACATTGGCTTCCATGCCAAATATACAGTCTTAACTATTTCTGAGTCATCTAGTGGTTCCAATTTGCTCTAGGGAAATTGGAATTAACTAAGTAATTTATTATCTAGTAGGTTGCTATGTAATAAAATAAAAAAAAAGAAATTGAATCCAGTGACACACGCCACATGTGTTTGGGCAGAGTCGGATTCCATCAGCTAATCTGAGTCTGTGAAAGAAACAAAAGAAAGCTTCCTCCTGAGGATGGGTTATGGTCATCGAGAAGCCGCCACATTTCCTGCATAGCTGTATCCATTCCCTTACGGTACTTCCCGGTGCTTTCCCCTCATATCCCCTAGAAGGACTCATCTGTTCTAAGGTTTTCTGGGACTTCTGGCTGCAGAGCCTTCCAGCCTCGGATGCATCAGGAGCAAGGGAGCCAGGCGGGGAAGGGCAATTCTTTCCGAAGCTTCCACATTCCCTGGGGCCGGCACATGCGAGGTTTATATGGTCAGTAGCTCACATCAGCTTGTCTGAATGTGCTCTTTCTTAAAATCTCTTATGAAAAAAAAAAAAAATCTCCCTTATATAAAAAGAAGTAATGTCAGGCCGGGTGCGGTGGCTCACACCTGTATTCCCAAAACTTTGGGAGGCCGAGGTGGGTGGATCACCTGAGGTCAGGAGTTTGAGACCAGCCTGGCCAACATGGTGAAATCTCATCTCTACTAAAAATACAAAAATTAGCCAGACGTAGTGGCGCTCACCTGTAATCCCAGCTACTCTGGAGGCTGAGGCAGGAAAATCGCTTGAACCCAGGAGGTGGAGGTTGCGGTGAGCCAAGATTATGCCATTGCACTCCAGCCTGGGGAACGAGAGCAAAACTCCATTTCAAAAAAAAAGAAGTGATGTCAAAGTTTGATGAGCTTTACGTCGGAAATTCAAAAGCTTACACTCTCATTTTGGCTGGGATGCCGATTTGCTGGGTGCCCCTGTGGTGACTTGTAAAGCCTCCATGGGCCCCAGTTTCATCATCTCTAAAAACAGAAATTATCATACAACCTACCTCCTTGGGGGAGCGGTGCTACACAAGGAGCAGCTGATGGAAGTTTTGAAATCCAATTTGTAACCCATTAAGGCCGTCTACAGAAATGGTACAGCAAACTTCATTATGCCATTGTGATTCATAAGAGAGGCTCAAAGCCCCAGAACAACACGACATGTGTGGATGCAACTCAGAGGTGGAGGGAATGGAGCAAATAAGGAGCAAAAAATGCTTTAAATGGATTTATTTTGACCTCAAAATACATTGTAAGAGCAACATCCTACATTAATAAATGTTCTAGCCCAGCGCTTTGCGAACATTTATGTGCATACAGATCACTTGGGATCTTGTTTGAAGGCAGTAGGTTGGGGGTGGGGCCTGGGATTCTGCATTTCTAACCAGTTCCAGGGAGATGCTGATGCTATCAAGCCACAATCACACTTTGAGTAGCAAGTCTCTGGCCTATCCGTATTATTTGTTGTATTAAAATGCTGCCTCTCAATCTTCTGTCTCAAAATTTCTTCGCATTTCTCTGCTCTTGGTTCTTGGGAATTTGCAGGGTGGGTCTTATTTGCTGTTGCCTCTGCAGACAGCTGTAGGGGTCCGTGTCCTGTGTTGCCAGTTTAGGATTTATTTCTGCATCTTATATTAGGTGGCATCTTCAACTGGGTCACTTTAAAAATATACATATATATTTATATATATGTATATAGAGCCGGTGCTGACCATCTGTCTGGTTTCCATGTACATATATATATTCCATGTATATATATACACATGGAAACTAGCCAGGTGGTCAGCACTATTCCCAGCACTTAGAGACATCACGGTGAAAACAGTTCAGTCTCTTGCCTCAACATCCGCTAGGGAAAACATATAGAAGGTCAGAAGGAAGCCCAGAGGGGCACCACTAAAGAGCACCAGAGCTGGCCTTAAGAAGTCAAGGTAGGCATCCTGGAGGAAGGGCCACTGAACTTACAGATTACTGGATGTTAGGCAGAAAAGCGGAGTGAGAGGTGAGTGTGTTGGGCGGGAGAGTACTGCTACAACTGCCAGATGAGTTCATTTTGCCCGTTGCCTAGACAGAGCCGATTTATTAAGACTGGGGAATTGCAATAGAGAAATTCACGCAGAGCTGGCTGTGCAGAAGAGCAGAGGTTTGTTATTACTCAAATGAGTCTCCCCAGGCATTTCGGGAAGCAGAGTTTTTTTGGTTTTTTTTTTCAGGAGCACGTGCACTTTATTGAACTCGACTGTAGAAAAGTGTGTGAGGGTAAAGGGCTGATACAGGATGGGCTGGCGGCAGGGGGAGGAATGGAAGCTGGAGTACATGGGAGACAGGTCATGGGCAGAGCCCCTGGCCCGGGTGATTCCTCTGGATCTACTGATAGACTTGCAGAATCAGTTTTGGGATGATGATCAGCAGAATGGTCATGATGATGCCCAAAATCAGGGCCCAGATGTTCAGGCACTTGGCAGTGGAGGCATAGGCCTGGGCCCCGGTCAGGTCGCCAACCATCTTCCTGTCCCTTCACGGAGTAGGCAAACGCTATGAAGCCCAGGCAGCAGGGGTTCATGAAGAGGGTGTTGAACAGGGACCAGACGACGTGGTCAGGCACGGAGGTCTCGCTTCGGATGTGGATCACGGTGGATGTCGGGGGTGCAGGGTTGTGGGGCGCCCCCAGCGCAGCCACCTCATGTTCCTCCTTCAGCATCTCATAGTTTGGGGGATGGTGGGTGCTGGCGGGAGTGAAGAAGGTTTGGACAGTGTGGTTCATGGTGTCCAGGGAACTCGGGAGCAGAGTTTTAAGGACAACTTGGTAGATGGGGGGAAGCCGGTAAGCCAGAAGGGCTGATTGGTCGGGTCAGAGGTGACATCATAGGGAGTCGAAGCTGTCTTCTTGGGCTGAGTCAGTTCCTAGGTGGGGGGCCACAAGATCAGATGTGCCAGTTTATCCACCTGGGTGGTGCCAGCTGATTCATCAAGTGCAGGGTCCGCAAAATGTCTCAAGCACTGTTCTTAGGAGTAGTTTAGGGAGGGTCAGAACCTGGTAGCCTCCTGCTGCATGACTCCATAATTTCTAATCTCCTGGCTAATTTCTTGTCCTACAGAGGCAGTGTAGTCCCCTGGCAAGGAGGAGGTTTGTTTTGGGAAAGGGTTGTTAGCGTCTTTGTTTTAAACTATAAATTTTCTCCCAAAGTTAGTTAGCCTGTGCCCAGAAATGAACAAGGACAGCTTAGGTTAGAAGCAAGATGGAGTTGGCTAGGTCAGATCTCTTTCAGTGTCTGTTAAGTTTGCAATGGTGGTTTCACTGCTGAGGCTGAGAGAAGGGAAAGCAGGCATTTAGGGGCCTTCATTCAGTTCAATGTGGCTGTCATGTTTGAGTGGGACACTGAAATCAAAGGGTGTGTTTTTTTTGTGTGTGAGCCAAAGATTGTTTTCTTCATTTCTTACATTTGAAGGACTCTTCAATCATGTCCTTGGCCTGAGACGCCTTGCCACAGTCCTTAACTACTACACAACCGCAACCAACCACTTTACGGGACTTCCCCTCTCTGTCACTTTTACAGAGACCTACCCATTCCCCTAATTCCTTGTTATCATCAACCTTAATTAGGTTGATTTGGTGCTCGGCACAAAGGGCCTCCACCAACTTGGCACACGTAAGCTCATCACAGTTGGATGCAGGCACACAAGATGGGCTTGGCGCCTGTCTAAGGCTTTGGCAGCTTCACGAATTCCATGTGCTAGGCCATTGCGGTCTTCAGCACCTCTCGTAGAGCAGTATTAATGTCCATTACACCTCCAGCAGCAATGCCTTCCTCGGCCATGGTAGATGGATTACAGTTGAAGCCGAATCTTGAATGCACCCAAGGTTCCGCCCCCACACGACTATGCGTCGGCAGGGAAAGAGCCAAAGGGTGTATTTTTAAGAGATGAGACTGAAAATACATGGAGACCACATCAGAAAGTGCTGTAAAAGCTGTGGTAAGGCTTTATTCCAAAGGCAACGGAAAGGTATTGAAATCCAGATTTTAAATGGAGAAACCCATTCCTCTAACCCACATTTAACACACATTTATCAGATACCTCTTCCTCTTCCCTTCCAAGTACTGTGCTTGAGGCTGGGGCTATGCCAGCGGGCAGGATAGGCACAGAGTGCACTGCACTGTAGCAGGGAAGGAAGACAAACCAGCCACCGCCTTGCAGTGACAGCCATGTTGCAGCTGGGTGAGCACAGGGTGCTGGGGGGTGCATAGATGGGGTCCTCAGCCTAGTCCCACTTTCACCTAGAAGTGGAGAGGGGTCCAGGAAGGCTTCCTGAGGGATATTTTAGCTATCTGAAGGATGCCTAGGAGCTAGCGAGGCAAAGAGGAGCAGGAGAACATTCCAGGCAAAGGAAGAAACATGAATAAAGCCCCAAAACAAGAGAGAACGTTGATTTGGGCCATTCAAAGAATGTTAGTGTGCCTAGTCTGGGCACGGCGGCTACCTGTAATCCCAGCACTTTGGGAGGCCGAGGTGGGCAGATCACCTGAGGTCAGGAGTTCGAGATCAGCCTGACCAATATGGTGAAATCCCATCTCTACTAAAAATACAAAAATTAGCCTGGCGTGGTGGCAAGTGACTGTAATCCCAGCCGCTTGGGAGGCTGAGGCAGGAGAATTGCTTGAACCAGGGAGGCGGAGGCTACAGTGAGCCGATACCTCACCACTGCCCTCCAGCCTGGGTGACAGAGCCAGACACCATCCCTACTCCCCCCAAAAAGGAAGCAATGCTCAGATTCACATTTTAGAAACAGCACTCTAGTTTTCTGAACATGAGTGACATTTATTCAACAAATATTTGTGGACCATCCATTCAGGGTCCTGGGGGTTAGAGGGGACAGATGTAAGCTAATGACAACTATAGAATGTGACAAGTGTCAGAGGCCTGAGCAGTGCTGCAGAGACTGACTCAGAACAAGGGAGTCAAGGAAGCCTTCCAGAGGAGGTGGCTTTTTAGCTAAGCCATAAGGATGCATAGGAGTTTGCCAGGGCATTCTAGATAGAACAGCAGGTAGATGGAGGATGTAGCATGTGAAAAAGTGTGACCTGGGTCGGGCACGCTGGCTCATGCCTACAATCCCAGCTACTCGGGTGGCTGAGGCATGAGAATCACTTGAATGTGGGAGGTGGAGGTTGCAGTGAGCCGAGATCGTGCCACTGCACTCCAGCCTGAGTGACAGAGGGAGA